AGTCAGTGCCTGGGAGCTATAGAAGCAAACGGTGTTCTTACCCGCTGTGTTAGCCAGCCACATTCTTTGTAATTTTGTGTAATAATACCTTTGGATATGAAAAATAAAAGTAAGATTTTTTTATATTTTTCTTCAACTCAAAAAGCATTTCCAGAGTGGATTTTTGTTGAACTGTGTAGCTGGGCTAGTTACAGACAATGCCTGCGGAAGTAACTAATCAGTATCTGACCCACTGAGCATTTTTTGGTCTCAAAGAGGTCTAATAGACATCTAAATGTAGCCTTGACAACAGGTCTAAAATCAGGCTACCACAGGTCCAAAAATTTAATTTTTTTAGACTTGGTCTAAATTTAGACCAAGTTTAGACTAAATTTTAATCTGGGCTATATCTATACTACACTGTATATAGCTTAACGGCTATCATAATTATTTTGGTTAAGTACGAGGAGATCAGTTATGCAACTCACAGTTTCTTTTTGAAATAAATACTTATTGAATAATGGGTTAAAGTGCAACGTCTAAATTCCATCTAAAAATATACAGAATCTAGATGGTTGAAATTTGGTTGATAAAAAAAGTTGGACGTCTAATAGCCATCTATTGCTCAGTGGGGAGTAGGCCATTGCAAGTTCCCAAGCATCAATTCAAACCTCTACAATAAAAAGAAATCAGATTTTCAGACTGTAAACAGATACATTTCTGCACTTTTGACCTTCTTAGTAAGGTGGTTTTTGGTGCTTTTGCATTCACCTCTAGAGGGCACATGGAGAACTGCAGTTTTTAGCTCTTCCACTTCTGTTTCTCTTTCAAGACTGGAGGTTGCTGCTTGGCTTATACCCATGAAAAATGAATAATCTGAATGATTTTACAGCTGAGCAATAAAACCCACTTGTTTAAGGTTGCCCTGCAGTGTTTTCAGTCAACAATGAGGTAATACTTTCTCCTAAACCTTGCACACTGTTTGGGTCAGGTTTGATAGTGACACATCCTCATTGAATGTAAATCCTTGTCTGAGTAATGGCTCAGTATAGGCAACACTCCTCAGGGGTGGAGTATGCATGCTTTCAGACAGATGTATGTGGAAGCTGAAGCTGTTTCAAATATAGCCGCCTATGCTGGGACTGATTCATGAGGAGAGCTCAGTCCAGTGGCCATACACAAAACTTCAGCTGGGGGTACACAGGCATCAATACCTCGATGACTCACTTTTAGCTGGTGGTGGAGCTGCGAATAAAGTGCTAGTTGGGTGGTGGGTCGAGTTACTTGCTTTTTTTCCTTTTCCACCACAGACTGACTCATTTGGCTGTCATCCAGTGCTCCAGGGCTGCAGTCTTTATCGTCATGGATATATGAGTTTGCCTTGAATGTAATTTCAGAATTACTGTCTCAGACTGCGGAATAAACACACGCGCACACATTCACTCGAGGTTACAACAGATGACGATGTATATGCATGTATATACTGTATGAACAGATGAGGACAACACTGTAAGGACATAGAAACACCTTATGAGCCACCAAATGCGTAATGATGATAAATGTAAAGCATGATAAAAGCCTGCAGCCTCTCATTTGATAGTCAGATGAAAGGAGCAGCACAGTGTTGTCCAATGTCATGACATATTAATGCCGCACTAATGCACATTCTCAAGAAGCTGCAGTAATTACACTGTGTCGGGTGTTGAGGAAAACTCCATTATTACACACTTTAAACACTCAAGACGGTGAATATTCATGAATTTCTCACAAATAGCTAATGGTGGGATTCATCTTTGACCGCACAGACTTCTTAAGGGGGAGAACAGTAATGGAGGATGACTCAGTGTGAAGATGTTTTTGCCTAATGCAGGCTATTGTTGGACCTTGAAGCATTATGATTCACATAATAAAAGTGCTAGGTGCTGTTTATTAGGGAGTAGCTTGAAGTGAAATGCGGCAAAAACAACCTTTCATCTTAAAGTTAGACCAGACTGTGTGGTTTTAATATTGGACAGGGAGGAACGAAGAAAGAAAAGTGAAAGTGAGTGTTTTATTTTGGCGACACGCTGAGTAGCCAAGTTTAGTTTTAAAGTTTGGTACCACAACCCAAGAGGATGAGGACATTTAAAGCAGCTGGACTGTCTGATACAGCTGGATGTTCATTTACTCCTGTGGGGATCTATGTGATATATGATTTGCTAGCAAAACTGTAACATCCTAGTCTGGGATCTGCTTCGAGTACTTTAAAGGGATATTCCGGCATTAAATTAAGCTAGGGTCAAACACACTGTTACAGAGTTAGACACCACCTCAAGAGATGAATGTTGCCGACCGCTTGCATCTCTAGTTAAACCAACTTTCGTAACGACCACAGATAGCAATACAGCCAGCCATATGCTCAACTAATATGCCACTCTATAGCCACAAATAATGCTCAGAACAGCACCTAACTTCAGCAACAGTACATATAGGGTCTTAGCCACAGCACTAGCCACCAAACATCTTTCCGATTTGCCTGATTTCTTGTTTCAAACGACTTACCCCCTCTCTATCAGCAGCCGCTTGTTTGTACGGAGACCTTCAGGCGAGTTCATCGACTGCAGTGGGGTGACGCAGCTCAAGGAAGAACATTTATGATCATTTGTTCATGGAAATGCAATCAGACCAAGACGCTAAGGCAGGAGAACTACCGCGTCTGTAATGCAAAACATATAACAGAAGGTAGTGTTGCCTAATGGAGACGGAAGGCGAAGCCAAGTTGTCCATGGTATATACAGTCTATGCGCCCATTTTTGAGCAAAATAAAACATATTTTTGGTCACATCTGTCACACCTGTAACTGTGGCTGACGATTAGAACATATCTGCTCTTAAGTTTATATTAAATCTTGTTGTTTTTCTGCCCTCCCCTCCAACACCTTCAGAGTTTCATCAGTACTCAGTGTCTTGGTTACAGCGTATTAGTGTGATATTGCAGTAGAGGAAGACACTCTGATAATGCCTTTAGTATTCACTGAGGCAGAAAGAGAAAGAAACAAAGACAAGAGCTCATACTGCTAAGCTAAATGGCTACAGTCAAGTCATGTAAACAGCCTGAGATACCGAGAGTAAAACTATAATTCAGACCTGTAAATGATGTTAAAAAGCACAGGTCTAGAGTGCGGGCTTGATCGTGAAATTGTCCTTCCTTAAAATATACAGCAATCACATTTTTAAAGTGCTTTTTTTGAGCCAGGAAAACTCTCTGCAGTACCTTTTCCACCCTCTTGATATTCAGAGTTAATCTTGTTGTTGAACTGGAAATATTCAAAATGGACTTTTGAGTTTTTCCTCCTTTGAGTCAGATACCAAAAGTGCACTCCAAAACTGTATTAAAAAGCACCCTCTTTCTGAAAGATCATTCATCTTAAACTTGACTTTTTCCGTCATAGTGAACCATTTCACTTGCAGGAGTAAATAGCTCTTCTTTCGTATTGCCAGTAATGTTTGGTGGTTTGGTGATTTGAGCTGGAAATGACAGTTTTTCATGAATTTAAAGCCAAGGCAGCAAAAGGAAAAGTAAACTTGGATTTTTTTTTTTCAAACTTGCCTCATTTTTCTTTCCTTGATGAAAGTTCAGCAAGATGTCAAGTCCACTTTTTGTTGATTTACAAAGAAGCAGTCCGGTGTGTAGTATTGACTGGCAGATAACACACCTCCACTCTTTCAGGTTTCCCTGGAGGCACGCCAAAAATGTTTCTAACATGATAACTGAAGAGCAGAAAATTGAGGTGCATTTAGACTTCAAGAGCTCCCTCACAATCGAGTAAAATCCCAAAGTAAGTTTTACTCACTCTAAGAACGGTTTCAGCACTTAAACTAAAACAGTGAAACTGGAATTGATTTTTTTAATGAATTGATTTGTTTTAATCATCAAGGAACACTCCAACTGAATTGAAGGATGTTGCGATTGAGTTGTGGGCATGAGGTTCCAGGCCAAAAAACCTGATCTTGCAATTTGCTTGAGAGTTTGAAGCTTCATGAGCAGATTGTTGGTAATTTGCAACAAAATAATGTTAAGTATAAAGTATTTATCAATTATTACCTCATTAAATGGGCAACTTTCAGGTCTCTGACTATCTGACCGAAAAACACAAACATCACTTTTAATATGCGTCTCTGCAACACTACCTGTCCTCATTTATGGGATGTATTTGAGACTTGGCTCGAGCTTAAGGTGTGGAAAAGCGAAATATACAGTGGCTCAGATATAAGCGTTCAAAGGCTTGGAAGTATACGCACATCACTTTGAACAAGAATGTGACGATAAAGTGTGGACTGTGGCCAGGCAGGGGTGTATCCAGACTTTTTGACAGGGGTGGCCCAACCGAGGCAAAAACATTGAAACTAACACTTGAACTAATTAAAGGTGAGGTAGGCAGGATCTGAGGAAGTGCCCGTTTTTGGGAGAAATCTTAAATGTAAACACTTCACCTCCCAGCCAGTTTTCCCCTGGCCTGCTGGCTCTCTCTGCAGTTTCACATTCAAAGGGCAGAACTGACCAGCATCTATTGTGGCTAATATTGTGACATTTAACTCAGCAATCCCATCTCAAAAATATGGGAATATCCCTTTATTAACAGCACTTTGAGAGTGTTATTCAGAAGAGTGTATGTTTACCTTAACTGTATGTTTTGATGTTTTCGGACTAGCACAGGATAAATTATTTGATAATCTGAAAACTGCTACCACTGAGTCCAGAGTGATCTTTTTTCCTCTGTATGTTTTTCATGAAACTTAATTCTGTTTTTAATCCCGTTCTCAATGAAGTAGCTGTTCATTTATAAGTATTTCCCTCTGCGTCTGCTTGTTGCTGATGAGCCCAGATAGCAGCTGAGCCTCACACCGTGTAGATGGAGGTTCTTTCACTTGAAAGGAATGATCTTCACCTCAAAATAAAGGGTCAGAGTTATTAACACAGTGGGACCGAGCGAATCGCAGTGGTACTCGACACAATTATAAAGGTTGGCCTGTCTAAGCCACATGTCCAACTCTCTCCTTTGGCCTGTGATATTAATCCAGGTCAGTCTGTTTAGCTGTGAAAGTCCCTTCAAGTTCTCCTGTTATATCGTCCTCTTCTATTCACTCCTGACCTTTTAAGGCATTAAGATATCATTGGACCTGCATAAGCTTCATATATGACCACTCTCAAAAGTGTATAATTGATAAAAAAATAAATAATGATATCTAAATAATGCATTATGTGCCCACCTACCTGTTTAATGTTAAATTTTCACATTTAGCCTTAAATTTTTTTATGAGGTGTTTGTTTTCATTGCAATCCAAACTTTCAAAAACTGAAAAAAAAAACAGCGCACAATATCATCTGTCATTGGATAGATTTGTAAATTAAGCTCTTAGGACTATATATATATATACATGTGTGTATATATATATATATATATATATATATATATATAAGTAAATTAAAAAAAAAGTGAAAATATTAGATTTTATTGCACATGTATCTCAGCTGTTGCTCTCAAAGGTATTTTGTGCTTTCATCAGTCATCTTTGTCTCCAAAACTGATCAGGCTCCAAGAGGAGCTGAGGCTCAAAGATGCCCTCCTGGAGTGGTGCATCAGAACAAAGCAGGAAAAAGCCAAGGCCCATGAGGACGCCCTGGACCTGCTGGCCAAAAAAGAGTTTAGGAAACTCAAGGAGGAGCTGAAGTTCATAAATGAACTTATGGAAAAGGCAGCCGGAGATGAGAAAGTCATACTTGAGAGGTATGAGGTTAAACTGAGTCAAAGAAAAATGGAGGTGCAGAACCTCCAAGAGGAGCTGAAGCTCAAAGAGGAACTCCTGGAAAAAGCTGTTCAGAAAAGATGGAAGAGAACCAAAGCCCACGTGGAAACTCTGGACCTGCTTGCCAAACTCCGAGAAGAACTTAAAGTCAAAGATGAGTTCCACATCAGAGCCGCTGAGAAGAAGTAGGTCTATGAGGACACCTTAAAACTTCTGGCCCAATGAGAGGAACAACAAAAGAGGTGCGAGGAGTTCTGGAGGAGTGTGTGTGACCACCTGCAGAAGTGTCCGTCCAACATGGGCAATAAACTTTCTTTTTGAGAATCAATAAAGTTCCTCTTATCTTATCTTAGTTTCTGTGTCTTTCCTTGCACACTTGTTTCATATCAGTTCTCAGTTCAGGTATGTGGTTAATAATCAGAACATCATATGTTGAACTAAATGCTTTTCAGTAAATATTAATACCAAATGAGTTATTTAACCCTGACACTACAGGTCAACAACCACTCCACTCTACTTGATGAATTTAGGTTAAACTTTGAGAAATCATTTCAAATTCTTGTGGGAAACTTGTTTTTGGTAAGTTAGAAATGAGCCAAAAAACGAAATTATCCTTGTATCAGGACCATGGAGCATTTTGTATGTTAACAAATGGGACTTTTTAAAACCCACAAAAGTAAAAATGAGGAGAATAAATATGAAAAATGAATCTGTATCCAGTGCGGTGTAACACTGTACCACAGGAGCTTCATTTATCATTTAAAAAGGTACCGTCTGGCTCATGATGGGCTGAAATCTGCTTCGTAATTGGGTGCTGCAGCTGATCTGATGAGATTGTAAAAGAATAAAATGGAGCTGGTGAAAGTCAAGGGCAATTTTTATATGCATGGATTCTAATGAAAAACACATGGTTACCTCGAAAGGTTTATCATCAAGCTGCCGCAGCGTGCGGTAATAGATCATAACCGTTTAAACACATGACACTAGTTGGAAATCTAAATTGTTCAGACTGATCTTTAACACAGGAGATTTAATAAATATCACTTTGGAAATGTGTCAAATATCACACACATGCCTGATCACAGCTGTGCTACATGTTAGCGTATTAGGGACCTGCTGCCAGTAGCTTAACCAAGCAATGATGTCTCATTTGAAAAACACATGTCACAGTGATTCTCTGTCCTCGTGTCTGGTCTATGCCTCCGTATCTCATATTGTATGTGGGAGGGAATAGAGAGGGAGGACAGGGACTGCCAGTTGGTGAAAAATATAAGAAAGAAGAGCCATAGTGTTCTTCCAGGATGCCCTTCTGTTTAAATTCACCAACACATGCAGCCACACAAAGGCACATTGAGCCTCGAAGAAAAGGACTGCCAAAGAAGAGGTCGGCTTTTTCCGAGTGTGCCCATGCTGAACATATACAGTATGAAAAGAGAAAGAGAAAATCATCAGGGATGGAAACAAAGCAGAAGTCTACAGTTTATAAAATACAACCTTTGTTTTACCTGTCACCAATAAATGCATTTATGAATAAAAAATACTGTTATCTATGAGGACTTCCAGTTTAAATCTGTGGTATTAACTTGGTATGTGTGCTGTAAGTCAGTGAAATGAAAAAAGTATTGTGTTGTGGTTGTTGTGCAGCTCCCTGCCAGCAGATGGTGCTACACAGCTTTACCGCCTGGATGTAAACAAGAGCAGACAACAGGTGCATCTCGTTGTGCAGCATTGTTAGCCATGTAATTAATATTCTCAAGCAATAAATAACCATTAAAAAATGCAGTTGCTGGCCAGTAGAGGGGACTAGAGACCGGTGGTGCTAGCTATGCTAACGTTAGCTACGCTTGAACCTATTTGACATAATTTCCTGGCAAACTTTGTAATAAATTGTTTGGTGATGTAAAATAAATGGTACTGGTTTCTGACAGGTTGGAGAAAACTGGATATTTGGGAACTGCAAACCCCAACCAGTTTTTATTTGGAGGCACATCTTTGAGGAACTTTAAGTTTATGTCGATTGCGGTGATTCGATCGTTTATCTTGAGCAGTTCTAGCCACTTTTAAATCTCTATTATTGTATTGGTCTTGTTGAATTTGAAAGTAATGTGGATACACTATAAGCTTTAAAAAACTACTAAAAGTGGATGAACCGTCCTCAAAGCATGTTGTCTACATTTCCAAACTATTTTGTGGAAGCTCTTGTCATTAGACTCAGAATTACAAATCAAAACTGTGCCCAATTTCCAGATTGAATCACACCAGACCAGAAATATCAATAAAAAATTACACAAAAAAAAAAAAAAAAAAAAAAAAATGTCATTCTGAATAAACAGACGGGCTCACTGGTGTCAAAAAGAGGTATTTGAAAATGCTCTTTGGTTAATGTTTTAAAAAAAGATACTCAATGAAAAAAATATCAAGGCAATTCCTTTTTGACCAGTTAAACTCTGGTTCAAGTCTTTTTGTCAGAGAGCCAAAAAGACTGAGGGCTTGATGTCAAACATGTCAGAGATTGTTTTAGGGTCAACATGACTGAGCTATGAGAATAAAGGCGTTTTAATTATTCAAAAAGACAGTGCCTTGAAGCTTTTTTTTGGGAGTTCAAGGCTCAGCGTTACCCTGACATTTCCCGTGGTAGCTGGACAGCAGTTTTCAGCTGCGCTCTTCAACATCAGTCTTTCACTTGCATGTATTAATCTCACTGGGTGTGCAGCAGATGATCTTCAGAGGAATCGTTCCAAATTACTCACAGTAGTGTTGATTTTGATAAGGAGCTTGTCTGCCAATGCATTGTGTGGGATGTTGATTTATTTCATATTGTTGAAATAACAATGGAGGTCTATGGCACGGAGATAATGCCAATAATGAAAATAATGGTGTTAAATATTTCTCACCTATCCGTATGCTGTGTTTGCTATTGTGCGATGTTGACATTGGCATTGACGCTGCTTTTTTTCTAAGGATATTTAAAAATATAAATCTATGATATATTCAAGCCTTATGAAACCTAAACAAAAATTTTAAAGTGTTCTTCTATTTAAATGTTGATAAAAAATTACCTTAAAAACAGCTCAATGGCTTAAAATACCAGAATACCATTTCAAGTTTGGGTAATGCACTTTCCAAAAGGGATAAATTTGGCATGCATCTAGTTCAGTACATGCCTTTACAATCATGGAGAAGACTTGAGAAGATGATCGTGAACACCTTCCACAAAGAGGGTAAGTCACAGAATGTCATTGCCAAAAAGGTTGACCATTTGCAGAGCGCTGTATTGAAACATACTGATAGAACTTTGTTATCAGAAGTCTGGTAGGAAAAAGAGCACAAGCAACAGGCTAAAGAGTTTTGCCAAGAAAACTCAATGTGAGAACTTTAGAGAGCTTCACAAGAAGTGGACCAAAGTTGATGTCAATGCAAGAACCATTGCGCATCAAAAGGAATCATCCTCAGGACAGGAGATGAGCAACAGCTGTCCAGTTTCTTAATATCAAGACACTCCTAACCAGATAAAATGCCAGAAGATCTGGTCAGAAAGTTTCCTTCTCAGCACTTTATTTTAAAATAAAGGTCCTAAAGTCCCACATATCCAGCGTAAAGTTTTCCGCAGTCTATAAAGATTCGGGGTGCTATGTCGTTGGCTGATGTTGGTCTACAGCATCAGAACGGCCGTCAACCTGGTGACTTTCGAGCATATCATGCTTCTAATGGCTGACATGCTTCATCAAGATGTTGATTCCCTTTTCCAGCTGGACTTGCACCTGCCCATGGCGCCAAATCTCCTGCAGGATGGTTTGCTGACTGGCCAAGTGACCTGACCTGAGCCCAGAGAGAATCTGTAAGGTAAGAGGAAGATGAGAAGCACCCAACCATTTGTATAGACCACCTAAAGATGAAGCTATCAAAGCAACTTGGGCTTCAACGACAGTCCAGCAGTGTTACAGACTGATTTCTTTATGCCACGCCATATTGATGCAGTGGTTTGTGATAAAGGAGGCCTAATTAAGCGTCAAATTAGTAAATATACTTGTCAGAAGTTGAAAATTGATGTATTTTAAGTCATTTTTTATTGATCTAAAGAAGTGCTGTTACAATTTCAGACTAGATTTCTGATTTTTCTAAGTTTTACTATCAAAAGTGAAACCACAAAAAGTCAGGATATTTCACTTTAAATGTAATGAATAAAACAGTGTAAAAATGTTCCTTCTTGAATTTAATCACATGAATAGGAAACTTTTTCCTGATATTTTAAAAAGTTAAAGTATGAGTGAAGTATTCATAACTTCTTCTGCTTTCTCCTCAAACACCCTCTGTAATGTGATTCAGAATGTCAGCTGGAGAGACCTGCTTGTGTCCTCCCCCCCTGACAGTAAACATTTCAGCCTGCAGAAATGTGCTTGAACAAGCACTCGGACCTTATATCCACCGATCAATATCACAAGCTGTGTAGCATTTCTGTTCCTGCATTAATAATATTTCCGTGCAGAGAAAATGGAATGGACACGTATGGGTGAAGAACAGGCCACATGCATGGACCACCTCATTACGGATCATGCATAATGTATCGGAGCACGGCTACAATTACATTTCTTATATATGACTCTGTGTGTGTGTGTGGGCACCTGTGTGTTTTATATGTTGTTTTTCGCATACCTGAAACATGCTCGAGGGGTGCAGCGGTGCTATATTCAATGATGCCCTGCAGCCTCTTTCCTAATTGGTCTCTGAGCTCGTGTCACTTTACAATTTTTGACATAATTCACACCAGCTAACTGCTCCCTCATAACGGCTCTGGAGGAGCAGGCGGAGGGGAAATGTGCTCCACGCTTTGTCACTGTTAGTATTTGGCTTTGATTTACTCTGCCACCTTGTGACCTCTCATTTCCCGGTGGCACAGTTTGATCAATATGTAAGACAAATGTTGATAACCTTGGCTTGACCTGCCTGGATCCTGCAAGGTGGACATATCTAGGTGTAAACTGCTAAGTGTGTGTGTTGGGTGGGTGGAGGAGCAGACTGATAGATATTTAAGTGTTTTTTTATTCAATCTAGACTTGGTAACTTTATAGTACAAGATGGGAGTAGACATAATCAAATGCAGAAGCTGGATAACCCACTGAGTTGCTATTTCAGTCAAATATGCCTTCAGGGTTGATATCGTTTTCATGTCTGAAGTAAAACTCTGGGAA